TTTTGGGGAAATTCCAATAAACAGCATTCTCCACCGGTAGGAGTCAGAGGGGGAAAAAAGGTCGAAGCTGCGTTAGCGCGACGGCCCAGCCGTTCATAGGAGAGGGTAGCCAGGGTCAATTGTGCAGTATAAACACCATAGGCAAAGGGGTAACAAAGTGCCCGTGAGAGATCTGCACCAGGAAAAAGGTATGACGTTGTGGCGTGATAAATAGCAGCTTTTCTGGTGCTTTCTGGAAGGAAAGTGAGCGTTTGCCGCACGATGAAAAAGAGAGAGAGAGTTGAAGAATTGTTAAATCGATGCCTCGCGGTTGCTGGATGTCGCAGCCGTTTGACTGTGGAAGGGACCCATTTTCCACAGCAGCGGGCGACTGAAAGGCGAGAAGCTCTTCTCCTCGCTGAACCGAAGTCATGAGGGAGGCGCCCCCGTGCCACGTGATTACACGGGGGGAGGAGCGATTGACGCTGGTTTTTCCCCCGGACTTCCCCCCCCCCCCCCCAGACAGCAGACAATGAGCAATCGAAGTCAAAGGGTTCAAAAATGGTCAGACAAGTTTCAAAAGATTTAGTATAGATTGATCTACTCTGTATCGTTCAGAAGGACAATGGTCCAGCGTTCCATGGAATGAAAGATGCTGTTCTGATAATGCCAGGGTACCAAAAAGGGGACCCACCAGCGATTTACAATGATGTCATGCAGCGCACCAGAGTAAACCCAGAAGCCAGGGACCCACCAATCGCCCACCATACAGCTTCGTAACAATTATTATCCCCTGATAACTCTACCAGGGGTCCCCCTTTCGATTGCCAGTCCTCTGTTGCGTGCGACCCTTTTTCATCCTGCGGCACAATAAGGTAACTCACGTCAAACCGCGAAGGATGTGGGCTTGAAAAATCATGGCTTTTGTTCTTCTGCTGTCACCCAATCACCCCATCACCCTGCTCGCCCTGCTCGCCCTGCTCAAAATACGTGGCCTCCATTATTCCACCCCAGCCATCAACCCTCCTCCTCATCCTAGAAAGTGTGGCCTTTTCCAGAACTGCAGAAATGCAGAAATGGGGACCCGTATTGGCCGCTTGTGCAGCAGGAAACCGAATCGCTCTCACTCCAAGAATACTTAGCCATTTCAGGAGCCGCCGATGATAGGGCCCTATACAGGTAACCCTCCATCCACTCCTACAGGCTTAATTCGTGCAATCTCACCTCCTGAATCACAGTGAGCTCGAAACGCTTGTCAGCACATAGCGATGCATGTCGACAGCCAGACACCTCTCCGGAGCACACGAAAACGAACAAGGTCACAGTCCCAGCAGGACCGAACCAACCTTCGACAGAAAAGATGTCGCCGGAGAGCAGGTCTCTTTGGCAAAAGCGTTGAATTCAGTGATAAGAATCAGGCAGATGTCTACATCCTAATCCACATCAACGATCAATATTTCATCTTAAACACCAATTCACATGGCACTTGGCCACCACCAGAGGACCAGATAGTATGAGCCCTGATTCCATTCTCCATGTTTCACAATTGACAGGTGACAGGAGAAACATTATCCGTATACAGTTCGGAAGAGACCTGAAGATTATCGAACGCCAATCAAGAAGAAACGCGGACGGAAAGAGACTCTCTTTAGGAAGAGTGTGGAGTACGGCGATCAATGCGGGGCCGATGTGTATATCATAGTCTATGTGAATAATCGGTACTTCACCTTAAACACGAACTCAGATGGAACCTGCCCACCATCAGCTAAACAAATAGTATGACCCCAACACTGGATTGGGTACTTTGACTGACGGCTGGCAGGAGAACCACTATCCTCTTCCAGTTTACAAAACATCAGAGGACTATCAGAAACGCCCAGCGCAAGCAAAGAAGATAGAGAGGCTCAACCATGTTCATGAGGTTACGGTTCTATGCTGAGCAGTGGAGGTTGCTTAGACAATAATGCTTTAGAACACCAACACCAGAGGTTCTAGCGATCCATCCTGTATAAGAAGGTACTTACTATAAATATAAATTCCGACACAGGACCACCGAGCGCTCAAATGTATGCGTGTTGGAATATCAGAATAGGCTGCACTGCCTTTAGCTCACGTGCTCGATTAGTTTAGCTCGCTCTAGATACTCCTATTATTCAGATCCAATAGAATATACGTTGAATTTTCAACTCCTTTGAATTGTTTTCCAAAGCCTAATGTCAAGACGCCCTAAACCAAATATCGGGAAATCCGGATTAACTCTGTTCCTGAAATTTTCCTTGTATGGTACTGTTATGGGTTACCCATGGTAGCTAGAAGTTTCCATGCAAACCAGTAGCAGAATGTGAATCTGGCAACTCCATGTGACGAATGTCAAAACTGCAGTACAAAGCTAATTGAGAACAAGAAACGGGAATAAGCTCAAAAGTGGCCTGGCGCTAAGACGCCATCGAAGAAAGTTCTCCTGAATGAAATGTAGTCACATATCCTCCGGCCCAGGGAACAGGAACCTCGAGCACCGATGAAAACATCCGCAGAGAAACATGTCGGTAACGAAACCAATCGCCTCACGAGAGAAAACCATTCTGCATCTTTTCAATACATTTGTAGTACCAGCAGACCTAAACACAACCCCTTCCCCTCCCCTCCGTATAAAAAAACAGGCATGACGGCTACAAATTAGCCCTGGAGCCCTCATGGCTCCGGGATGAGCGTCATTATTTTGCCCACGGATAGAAGGTGTCCGTGAAAAGTCGCATCTGTCGCACAAAGTTCTGCTCTTCGGCTGGATTCGAGATGCGACTGACTTTACTGTTCAGAGATTTAGTCGAATTTCTCAAATTAGGGCGTGATATCCATACAATGTACCGTTCTTAGCTCGGTGAACACGGTGAACTTCGTGCTCTACTGTCTCAAATTCTGGATCACTGAGCATATCTTTTTCAATATCCAGAACTATATGAAATGACCTCTGTTTCATCTCTGGGGGTTGGAGAGGTTCGATATGCGAGTGATGGATTCTTTGCGTGAGTTCATCGACAGGGCGTCCAGCAGATGCTAGATATGCCATGATAGCACGGTCAAACTCTGTTGGGTTACGACCATCGAATTCGTTCACACGAAGTCGTAAAATGACGCGCTTGGGATGTTTGGGAAAACTTGCGAAAGTTGGCACAGCATCTACTGCTGATTCTCCAGATGTCTCCGACATAGTAGCTGCTCGTTTGGCTAAGGTAAGGTACGGATGGAGAACGGATAATTCGTCTGGCTTTTCAGCCTTTTTCGGTGGGGAAAGCTGACTAATACCGAGACGCTGATCAGATTGCGTCTCCTCGAAAATAACATCCGAGTCGATTTTACCCCATCTAGATATCAATAGTGACCAGTTTCAATAGACATGGTCAAAAGTGATCCTTTACAGTACCCAGCCTCTTCCATCGAATATGTGCGATCAACGTTGTCACCATTACCAGGCTTGCGACCACCTTTATGCCTATGACTACCAGCGATGCAACGCAGCATTCGCCCGCCCAAACCAGACGCTATGTGTTCCTCCGAGCGGATATCTTAGAGATCTTCCAAGAGTCCTTGATGTCCAAGACCAGGACCTTCCTGGGTTATGCCCTGTTTGTGCAGGGGTTTCTCCTCCGAGCTCTCAGCACTCTCAGTAATGAATCAGCCGTACTGTCCAATGCGTCAGTATTGCACAACCAGATCCTTTCCGGCACTCTTCTGATCAAAGAACTAGGAGACTGTTGACCGTGTTCCTGTTGCAGAGTCTGGCGATATGGGGAGAATCCTTGGCCTGAATATGGTCTCTGGTGTACTGTGTTTCCCTGGTTGCTTTGGATCAAACCTTCTGGGGATATAAAGTTTATAAGCGGTTCGTACCGACGGTATATAGTTGGATAGGCCTTATTATCCTGTACGTCCAGAGAATATGAACAAACATGTGGATGACTTGTGGCTCGGCTGTACATCATTTCCCTTCCATGCCCAGCACGAGGATAAGTCATCTAGCGAGAGAAATTACTGATATAGAATTAGTTTAAGAGGTGAAAGGGGGCCCCAGCTCTGCTGGGGGGATACTATTCAGCAAACTTTTATTGCATCACAGTTTGGTGCTGTAATGCTTACTTTCAAGAACAATGATAATTTTCCCCTTGACCATTTACCTTGGCATAGTGTTTGAAAGAGAAGCTGTGAAAATTGGATCTAAACCAGGAATGGTATTGATTTCCAAAGCAGGCAGTGCTTGGCTTACTAAACCTGCCAGAGTTCGTTGTAATTTACAACGAACTTTTTAGTTTGCATCGCGGTCTATTTAGTGCAGCTCCCAGCTGATGAAGTCTCCATAGGAGGTCATATATATATATACATATATATCCCCATTGGGTACCTTGTTCCAGCTCTCTAGCAGCTGGCCGCCGTGAAACCTCTACTACACCCGTCTGTTTCACTCAGCAAGCGTTTGGGACTGTCAGCACCTTCTGGAATGCCACTCTTCGAAGCAAGCAACCTGTTGGCTGTCGCGAAGAAGTGGACTGCCCTGACCGGCTCAGTCTTGTCATAAATAGCCCACTCCGCCGAAGTCTTTTCGACTCGAACCCAGTGTCGTTCTCTCTATTATGTGTTGTATCCTCTAACTTCGTGACCATGGAAATCACGACCATCTACGCTATTGCCGCGGGCGGCATCGTCTCCGTGTTCATCTTCATCCGCTGTCTTTATCTTCTTGCTCCGCTGCAGAGCACCGTTTCGGTCTTCGTTTCAAGGCATCTAACCTACCCGTATTGCCTTGGTCGCCATCGCTTCGCCGGGCCCTGGACTCGCGCTGGTGTTCTCGTTCATATTTCGTATCTAGCTGTGAACCTCGTTTGCCTGCTCCTTTCGGCCCCCTCGGTATCTGATATTGGTGGCCGAGCGGGCGTGTTGTCGGTCGTGAATATGACCTTTCTCTTCACAGGGCCACATCTCAGCCTCCTGGCCGACATTCTTGGTGTTTCTCTTCATACATGCCGCAAGATACATGGTTCGATGGCTTGGATGAGTGTTCTCCTTCTCGCAATCCATGTCGTCATCGCACTTCTGATCGGTCGAGTTGCTTTCCCTCTGAGGGATGCCGCCAACCTCATCGCTGCCATTGTAGGTCATCTTCTTTGAAAGATGACCATGTGCTAAACCCTCCCAGGGCTCATCCTCAGCGGCAGCGATCATGTTCTTTTCTTTCCCGTTCTTTCGCCGCGTGGCCTACGGGTGGTTCCTGCGGGCCCACCAAGGACTGGCTGCACTTCTTCTATATGCAACCTGGCGCCATATACCGGCAAATCAGTCGTTGTCAAGGATTTGTATATATGTGTCGCTGGGATCGTTTACGCTGACCCTCTTCGTGCAGATCCTGTTCTTCTGCTATCAGAACGGCGCATTCACGTCTCACGGGCCACCTCGGGCATATGTCAGCTGTGACGGTACGGACGACGACGAGAAAACAAATGAAGGTGTCGAAAAGGCCGCCGCGGTCCAGGTTGTTCTGCCTCGCCCGATGAGATTGGATGCCGGACAGTATGTCAATCTCTGGATGCCCACGGTAAGTTTGTTTTCGTGGGCACAGACCCATCCCTACATGATCTCTTCGTGGTCTCGAGGAAAGCAAACCAAGTTGGATCTCTACGTGAAGGCTCAGCATGGTCTGTCGGCTACGTTGCTCGACCGTGCCAGAGCGGCACCGAGTGGATCTGTTTCCTTCAGTGCCTTCGTTACCGGCCCTCACGGGATCACCGAACCTGTCGACCGGTATGAGAGTGTCCTGCTGGTCGCCAGTGGTGCTGGCATCGCGGCCGTGATCCCCTATCTCAAAAAGCTGATCTATGGCCACAACACCTCGACTTGTCGCACGCGGCGGGTACATTTGGTGTGGCAACTACGAACCCTCGGTAGGCTAGCTAGCTCGATATGTATGGTTGAACACGCTAACAAGGTTAGATATGGCAATTGCCGTAGAATCAGCGGTGAACAGCTTGCTAAAAGATGATACTGTGGGCCAATGGCTACGTGTGTGAACTCGTCTCATCCGTTGCAAGGGTCATGCTAATGATCACGGCAGATCCTCACGATCCTCTATCTACGTCGAGTCCGGAGGATTCGTGAAACTTGGGACCATGAACGTGCTTTT